CGGTGGATGTTGTCTCTCCATCTCCCCTGCAGACGTCCGACCCTTCTTTTTGAAATTCTTGGATGCCACTGTATTTTTCATTGTTTCTGGCAACGTGTTCTGCTCAACGCCACTTTGAACTCGCTATGCGCTCAACAACATCATAAACTCATGTTCTTCTAATCTCCTCGTTTCTGATCCTGTCTCTTAGGCTCACTCCGAGCATTGCTCTCTCTATTGCTCTTTAACAGACCCTAAGCCGATTGGCACTGCCTTCGGTAAGTGTTATTGTCTCGAGTTCGTATGCTGTCACTGGGAGGATGCACATAATATATCGTAAACGGTCTTTTTTAAATTTATTGGGATAGTCTGGTTGCTCCAACACATTATCACTTTGAATTTGCCATTTTGATCCAGTTTTGGAAATAAATTAAACTGTTAATGTGTTTGCCACGATAACGTTTTTGCCTGCAGGTATTTAAAAGTGACATTTATTCAAATTGTTATTTTTGACCTTCATTTCTTCAATAACTTTAAATGCTAGAAATAAATGGTTCCAATAGCAAGTGTATTGTATATATGTATATCAAGCAAAATTGTTATGATTTAAAAATATCGTAATTTTTTTTGAGATTTATTTTATTTTACTGTTTTGTTTTTCTTCTTAAAGAGCCTCAGGCGACAGCTTTACAAGAATATCGTCAATTTTAAATCACTATCTAATATGTTATTTTATATATTCAGGACGTCAAGCTTTGGTGGATGCGGATTCAAAATTAGCTGCACATGAGACTCATGATAATTTGTCGTTGCAAGTTGAGGCTCAAGGGTCAACCTCTGAGCACCAGCGTTCTACTAGCATGCATGGTATTTCGGCTGATGACAATCCCTTTAAAGACGATGAAAGTGCTGAGGAAACTAGGAAAGATGAAATTAGTACATCTGATATGGTACTAAGAACCGTAAAGAAATCGTATAAAGGTAAGCCTTATAGCCACAAAATTAATTTACATTTACAACTGAGTCTAAAAAAGCTGCTTTTCTAGATGATTTAGGGCATTCATTGTTTTATGTTAATCTCTGATCAATATAAACACTTTTGTCTTATCGTATCGTACAAACGTGTACATGGGTCAGAGGCCTTAATCCAACGTTTCGGTTATCCATGTGCCCAGATATTTATACCCTCTCACCCGCTTATAATATTTCCTTGGATATTCTCATTTAGACCGTAGGCATTACATGCATCGTTCAATTTTTACTGCAATTTAACACTAGTATACACACAGTATTGCAACTTAACACTAGTATCATCGGAGAATCGCATGTTGTTAAAAATATTCCCATTGCTAATTACTGCTTCTTCTCTGTCATTCAGGGCTTATCGGAAAATTGATACGCTGTATAGGTTAAACAGAAATGGAAAAAGCACACAGCCTTGCAAAAAGCCTCGCAAAATGTTAACCTCTTCCGACAGCATACTTCCAAGTGTAGTTTACTACTACACTTACTCATATTAAGAATTTCATTCAGAAAAACATATTACATCAGATTAATCGCGGTCACAAATTGCAAGTGGTATGGCTGATACTTCAAAAAACAAACCCCTAGAATTTTAAGTAAATCTTCTCACTCACGCATAATGATATAAATAATATAAAATAATTTTGTTATTTATGTACATGCCTTCTTTTTTACAAAACGTTATTTAGAAAAATGCCTAACATTGATTGTAGATCAGGATGGCCATTTTGTTTAATCTGTGCTACTATATTTATTCAGGTCCTAAAGCATTACTGGATGCTACTCCAAAATTAGCTGTGAATTTAACGACACGAAAGTATTCAAGAAAGACGAAGATTATTCTGTTTGGCGACAGCAATACTGAAAAGTCAAATGATAACTTGCTCTCAATTACGGCAGGTCCAGATATCTTAGTAACAGATGATAAATCCGATAATTCTCAAGAAAATAAGGTTACTGAAGAAACTGATGACGAGAAACTTGTTGACGCTGAAAGAGTAAGCAATATTGCTAAGACCGTAGAACCGAACACCGCTGAGATCCTGGAAGCGACTCCAAATGTATTAATTTTAACAGAAAATACTGATGGAAGGAAATGTAGTGAAAATGATAGTGTTAATGATGTTCCGCTTAAAAAAAAACTACCGCGAAAACAATCCAGTTTGATTTCGGGCGCTGAAACTAAGGCTGAATCGAAAGCTGGTAAAACACCCACTAGTAAACCAACGACTCTTGTCACACGTAGAAGTACTCGGCGTTCGCAACACGAACCAGTTGCAAGCAGTACCTCAGTAGAATCAGCGGTTTCCGAAAGGGTGACGACTAGGCGAAGCTCCGCAGTTCGAAGTGGTAAGTTTTATTATTAAAAAGTTCTATGACATTTTAAAGAGGATTACGTATTGCAAATCACCACAATCTTTGTTGACAACTACCACATTTAATGGAATTTAATTTATCAGTTAAGGCTATCATCACAATTAACACTATGTCTATTTTATAAAATCACAGTCACGAAAATTTGTTAATTCTATTCGCGTATTTCATTTTAGATGACGCACGCATAATTACCGAGGACTCAGCGAATGTTTCACCACCAAAAATACGGCGCACACGTCGTTTGATATCAGATTTTAACAATATGGATGCATTTGTGGACTTGGCTGATTCTCAAGAAAGGGACTCCAAACGAGGTAATTGCAATTTTATTGACCTAATTAAATAAGAAAGGAAATTATTATTTATTAACACGATTTTTTTGACTTTTTAAATTGATTTGGTCTCTTGATGGGAAAGTTTGTAGTTGTTTTTGGCTTTAAAAACAAAAGTACAAATTTGAATTTCGTCAAATGACAAAATTCAGATACATATTTCAATCCGAAAATTTTCAAAATTTTAATGTTGGAACTAACTTGCCAAACTGTAAGTAAGGAACCATTCAAGTAAATGAAAATGTAATGTATTAGCGATTCATGCAACTAATCCATATTTATATTAATTATCCCATATTCACTGATTGTTTTTCACTTAGATACTGGCGTAATGTCTGCACTCACTTATGCAGCGGAAACATCGAAAACTACGAGAAAGAAAAATACTGCACATTTACCTGTGGTTGATGATGTACAGCTAGTTTCACATAAACCCCAGCGAAGAAAGAGGTAAGTTAGATATTCCACATAATTTCTTTCAACTGCAATCTCTTGGTCAAGTGAGTTGCTAGTAACTCTGATAGGAAACTATGCTTATCTGTAATTATGCGATATTATTTTCGTGACAGTATCGCTAAGAACAAAAAGTACAACAACTTCGACATTTTTAATGAGGACATTTTCTTAAATAGAACAGTTAGGTTGGCTTTATAAATACTTCATAATTTCTGCTTCATAATTTCTATATCTATCTAAAGCGGTTTACAAAATATTAAATAATATACATACTCTTAATCTCTCTCTCTCTCTCTCTCTCTTAATCAAGCCATAGCCATAAGAAATCTGGTATTACAGCGCGATTTGATATTGAATGATATTGATATCAATTGATATACATTTAATATTCTGACAGTCGGTTGTGAAAGCCGGATGGCGTAAAGCCATATGCCCGTGCAGTACAACCATAGAACGGAGTTGTAGCGCATATGGGAATGTCTTGCATACTGGCGCATAAAATTACTACAAACGCCTGTGGAGTACAACGCCATCTCATGCGGTGTCCATCAAAATTCGGACACATTTTAGCAAACACTGCAAGACACCATTCTATTAGTTTATTTGCATAACAATTTATAGATTGAGTGATACATACGCGTTTATTGCAAATTAAATTTTATTGAGTATTTCTTAAATTCGTGTCATCAATTGTATTTTTGTTCGGTAAGTAAACTAATTATTAATATTTTTAACTACCGTGTTCAATATTACATGTGTTTGATCAATTAAGCAAGGATGTACATATTTGCATAGCAAATCCTTAGTAGTAGAGAGTAGTAAATAGTACAGAAACCTACAATGCAAACTAGGGGAAGGTGAGCAATCTGAAGAAAAAAGTGAAGTTTTCAATCAACAGAACAGAAAGAAAGAAAACAGAAGGTTTTCTACATCCACCGTATCCACTAACTGGATAACAAAATTTTGTTTTTCCAATACGCAGTGTTATATATTTTGAAAAATATTTGCCTGCCAGCATTCAAAATTAATTAGTTGCTAAACGAAAAAGACAATATTATAGAGATAGGAATAAGAAATGTAAAGCTACCATCGATTTTAAGTTTTAAAAAATGAATCGTGACACAATCACATCTGATAGTAAATATCAATTTTTGTCGTTCTCACAAAATTCACGAAGCAGGAGCGTACACTTATCTGTGTTTAAATTCCGACACTGCAGATGATTTCAAATCATATTTCCATCAGTATATCTGCTGTTAAAATTTTGTTGTGAAAAAAATTGGGTTTTTATGTTACAGTGTGTATAATCTTCGTTCTAAACAAAAAAAGAGATTTAACCAATAATATACAAACAAACCTAAATAAAATAATCAATTTTTGGTTTAAACCGAACTACATAACTGAAGAAACAAAACGAACACTGTACTGCAGTAACGGCCAAGCACCAGTAATATACGGACTATCTAAACTTCATAAAAACAACATACCATTACGACCAATCGTCAACAATATAGGTACACCAACTTACAACTTATCAAAGCTCCTCTCCACAATGCTAAGAAATGTCTTAGGACAGTTAGAATATCATATTAAGGGCTCTTGGAATTTCTGTAAATTTGTCAAAAACCAAAAAATACCACAAAATCACTGTTTACCAATTACTATACCAATGTCCCAATTGAATATGCAATAGAGTGTATAAGAAATAAATGGAAGGACATCGAACAACATTCAACAATTCCAGAAAAAGAATTTATTGAAGCGGTAGAGCTATGCCTAAAATCTACATATTTCAAGTTTGAAGAAAAATATTATTCACAAATATACGATGTTGTAATGGGTTCGCCCATATCAGCAACAATTGCAAACCTTGTTATGGAAAGCTTGGAAAAAAACATAATAACAAACCTAAATTATAAACCAACTTTCTTTAAACGCTATGTGGATGATTGCTTAATGTGTTTACCCAAAGATAAAATTCAATATACCCTAGATAAATTCAACAATTTTCACGACACTATAAAATTTACAATAGAAAATGATAACAATCAATCAATACATTTTTTTAAACATAACAGTAAATTATGATAATTCAGGTGAAATAAAAACAAATTGGTATATAAAAGAAGTTTGGTCAGGACGATATCTAAACTATAATTCATATGCACCCCAAAAATATAAAAAAGCGTACTTTGCGTATATATAGAGCTATAAAATTATCACACCCAAATTACAGACGAGAAAATTTAAAAAAAATAAGAAAAGTATTACTTAATAATAACTACCCAAAAAAATTTTCTCGGCTAATAATAAAGCGAAGAATTAACAAAATTTACAACTCAACTAAATATAACAATAATGAAGAAAAAAGAAACAATACATACAGGGTGATTCAAAATTGGCGTCATTCCTTTTAAGGGGTGATAGAGGCTCACTTGGGGAGTACGAGAAAAATATAGTATATTCGAATACTTAAGCATTCAAAAAGAAAAATTACGATCTTTGCTTCAAATTACGAAAATTGTTGATATCAAAAAAGTTCTCTTCTACAATTTTTTGATGAAAAATCACAGCGGCAATGATGTTTTCTGTCATTAACAGATAGTTACAGGTGGATAACCCTTGTCAATAA